GTTAAGCAAAAGTATGAATACCAAAAAAAGGCCACAAAGTATGTCTTTATTTAATTATAAAAAGTTTCAAAATCCCTACCTGGGGAAAGGTTAGCGGGAAACTGTAGTTCCAACAAAATTATAAAGTGTGTAAGTGGTGACTTACAAGTTACCAAGGAGATAAGAATCCAAGAAATCACAATCTTTTCCGAGTATTTTACATCCCACAGGTACACAGAGCAACAATATTATTTAGGCTGTGGTCTGAATAAGCTTAGGACAGAAAGTGAAGAACCAAGTTTCTAGTCAAACAGAGAGAGACCAGGTGAAATTCCAACTTCTCCATCTGCAGCCGTGTGGCTTCAGGCATGTCACTGATTCTCTCCTCATTTTAACACGCAGGAGCAGGAACAGATAACCGTGAAGCTAACGGAGAATACACGAATTACGTGATTACAACAGTTCTTAGCTTGAGATGCTCCTTCTGAGGCAAATGGCTTTAAAATCCCCTGCACCCTGCTGTCTCTGTCCAAACTACTTCATACCATTCCTAATGGTCTACCTCAATCTCGAGCACAGAAAGAATCTAACAGAACAACGAGCAATCAATGAAAGAAACAAGAGAACAAACTCCCACATTTAGTACCCATACCATAAAGACCGTGAAGGGACCTAGCAAACCCGGTGAGCATACCCAAGCAGTCACTAACACTTCACAATTCTTTTAGTTAACCTAGCCCAAAACAGACTCAGAGGTTAGTAATATCCATACCTCATAACTTGGAAGTTTAGAAAGAACATGTCGCTTGAAGTAAAAAGAAATGCATTACTTCACTAGTACATCATGGAAAGCTAGAGAGAGTTTCTAAATAACAACTAAAAAAAACCCCACAGATTTTAGGGACACTGGCACCATAGGATACCATTCCCCAAGGCCACTGTGGTTAGAATGAGTAGAAACGGGTTTAAATTTCAACATTAGGACTTGGACATTCATTTCCTGAGTACTGCTAAATATCTGATTAGCAAGGGAGGCTTTTAAATTTCTGCTTCTTTAAAGACCTCTAAAATGAGAAGAAATTACCATTTGTGTATTAGATCTACATGAGATTCTCTTCCTTAATTAGAGAAGTCCCAATAAGTATGCTGTGACGCGCTGATATACAACAGAGGAATTTTACTCACCAAGTTCTGTATCTGGGAATTTCTCTAGTAAGATCTACTGACCAAAACTGAACAGCACATCCCTGGGGGTACTTGGAAATGTGGAAAGAGGCATGTGAAATTGTCACGGAGAGCGGAGTGGAAGAATGTGAATGGCCATTAGTCGTCGGGCCCCAGGCGCTAAATGAGTGACAGTCACGCGCTACACACACCACAGCACCCTGGCGACCTCAAGGGAAAGTCAGATAACCGCCCCCATTCCTCTCTCACCTAAATCCAGTCAGGCCGGACCGCGGCCATGACTCCTGCCGGGCCGGGGCTCATGACAGACACCAGAGCGTGTCCAGCTGGGCGTGGAGCAACAGCCATTCCCGGCCCGTGTTGCCCTCCTGCCTCGCCTTCTCCGATCCTAAGCAAGGGCAGGCTCTCCAGAGCTCAATGCTGACGCTCTGCTCCACCAACGGGGCATTTCACCCTTGCTCCACCACCACCGCCAGCTGGCCATGTGAGAAAAGCTCTCCACTCCAGCCCGTGAGCACCCCTGGAGCCCTGCATGCGGGATGCGAGAAGAGGCAGAGGAAGATCCGTACGGAACGAGCTGGGCGCCGCGGGGCAGGGGCGTCGTCATGGGGACGAGGCCCGCGGTGTTCCCAAGGTGCTCACGAGACTGTGACCAGCAGCGTTAAAGCAAGTGCTCTACTGTGAACTGTGTGCTACCTGACGGTCTCCCACTGCCGGCCACAGGGTTTAAGCTCCGTCCACGTCAGCCTGGGCCCTCCGGCATGCAGCTCTTACCCCACTATCTGCAATTCTCTCAATTTTCTTTATGTACCTTTGGATTAGAACCAACCAGACTACTTTCTTCACACGCACGGTTTCCTGTCCCAAGGCTCTGCTCACCATTTCTCTTCAGGAACAACATTTCCTGTATCCTGAACCATCAGAATCCTAATCATACTTCAAGGCCCAGTTCAAAGGATCCACGTCTACAGACCGTCCGGTCTACTCAGCCTCAGTTCATCTCATTAGCAGCTGCGCTTCCCGTCGCATTGCACCTGGCTGTCGGGCGACAGCACGTTCAGCAGAGGGCAGAGCCCGCCGTCTGCTTCGCTGTGGTCAAGGGCGAGGGGCACAGCACCTGCAGAGCACAGGTGTTCTCACCTACGTGTCTACAGATCAAATCCCGTCTGACGGGCAACCTGGCGGTTCTTGAACAACGACGGGAACTAGAGAGCAAAATCCCTAGGACGGATGCGGCGTCAACTGCATCCTCTGAAACCGACAAAATGGCCATTCCGGGCTAATTATACACAAGCTCACACCACAAATTCTTCCACAAAAAACAGAAAGGCAATTCAGACACAAAAAGTAAACAGCTTTAACATAAATGAACGTACAGAAGTATTCTATACAATGACAGATTTTAATTAATCACGGTGGTTAAAGTCTACTGCCCTTGAGCAAAGTCTATGTTTTAACTACCAGGCTGTTTCTACTCCTTAACAGAGCCCTACTGAAGTTTTCTAAGGGTTAAAGTTAATTAATTTGAAACCAATGATAACTACATTAAGACAATTTAGGGACCATTAAATAACTATGCACAGGTTAAATCAAATCCTAGAAATATGAAAAATCTATGAATGGAATCCAGTCTGTGAAGTTTTACATTTTATGACTATATGTATTAAATAAAACCAAGTATACCAGGCAACTATAAAATAAAAAATTAAGACTTCTGTAACTTCTTTTGTCTCTCCTGCTTTAAATTTTAAACTACTGTAGTCTCTGCAAGTTTTTTACAAGAAAATTCAGGGACTAATAAGATTTAGCTAACTGATAAGAAATACTTTGTACTTCACGTAACAATTTAGATCGTGGGGGAAAACACAACTGTTTTCCCAGTCAAGAGCGCTTGCCTAATTTGAGCAGTGGCACAGCTCTACGGCAGAGAGTAAAGCAGAGGGGCAGGCGATCATAAATGAGGGAAACAGATACCTCGGGGTCAATTGTAAGTGTTCAATAGCTGCTTTTATGTTGTGTAGCTTGTGAACTTCCTATAGAAGAGATGTGCTAGTAAAAAATAGGTTCAAGGGTTAAGTCAGTTTCTAGTCTTGTACCCAAATTCATATGCCAATTATTCTAATTATCAGAAATATTTTGTGTTTACACGTTTCTGTTATACAAAGGCCATTTCTATTACGTCAAATTATGCAAAAACAAATAATGAGAAACTTTTTGGTTTAAAAATACATGAACACTTGTTAGCTGGGATATTAAAAAAAACAATATACAAAAAATCAGCAGGAGCAGTACAAAAAGCAGTTATAAGTGCCAAATAAAATGTCTTACAATCAGTAAGCCATGTTACAACTGATATAAATTTCAATAAAACAGAGAAAAACTATGAAAACTAGTTTATATTCTTTGCATACTTGTCTGTATATTTTATCTTTCTTTAGAAAGCTAATTGAAGATTGGATGTTTCCAAAGAATTTCAGAATCAACATCATTTTAATTTGGTATGTTATGACACCTAGATGAATGATGTAATTCAAGCCTGGTTGTAAATACTATGATTCCAAACATTAATAATAGTCCTTTATTTTATAAAGAATGCTAACATATATACAGAAAGACAATGCAATAGGAAGTACAGTATGCTAGACTGGTAATCTGGAAATTTAAATTCTAGGTCCTAGCTGGGCCACTAAATAGGTGCATAAACCTTGGCAAACGTTTTGTTCACCTTTCCGAGTCTGACTCCTTATCTCACCTATAAATAATTGAAATTACAGGGTTGATTTTATGTTCTATTCTAGAAATTGTAATTTGGCTCATATAAGCAAAGGTTTTTACCTAAATATGTAAGAAATATCTACATGTTAATACTGGTTAAAAAGGAGAATTACAAAGCATTGCATGTTGAAAATTCAAGTATAAAAGTTCAAGTTCTGTTTGAACAGATACACTTAAAAAAGTAACTGTGGTATTCTGAAATTTAAGGACACACAAACAAGTAGTAAAGAACAGTAAATGTGTTAAAAAAAAAAAAAAAAAAGCATAACCCACAACAGGAAACCACATGGCTAATTAATCCCCAGTTTTTGCCTCAAAAGTATTATAAATTAATGTTTCCTCTATTTTAGAATGTTGGTAATTAGTAACATCCTGCATGAACATTAGGAACATGACATAATTTAAAAATAACACATAATTACTGATTCTGAAACTAAGCACACTTTACTCTGGAAGGTCAAAATCACATGATTTTTATACAGAAGCAATTCTGAAACCTCATGAAAGAGTTCCAAGGCAGCATCAGAGAGTGTGTAACAGGAACGTGGCTAGGGGCTGCACGGGAGCCTCACAACCTTTCTACTTTTCTTCTTTGTCAGATTAATTTGGCAAAAAAGAAATAATAAAAGTGCCATGTAACTCTATCTTCAAATATTTTCTCAAAATCAAGCATAAAATTGCAGAGGAGAAGAGGCCCCAGAGTTTAGGACTGCCCCGAGAACAGACTCCTTACAAGCAAAATTCTATATTCAGAGAAGGAAATCCCTTATTGCTCAATCTGTGGGTAAATAACTTTGATCACAGACCTCTAATTCACCCACTAAGAGTCAATGATTTTAATAAAACTGTGATGAGGTTCTCAGAGAATATGAAAAATGGGGTAACTGTTCATTTTGCAAAGACCACAATATAAATTTTGTCAATCCCTAACTGATTGTTACAGATCAAACCAATTTGATTACTTTAAGGTGAAACCTTACAACTAAAAATTATGAAGCACAAAATATCAATTAAGATCTTCAAATAGGCCATCAAATTTGTTTTTTAAAAAAATATCTTACTGTAATGAAGTCATCCCCTTTAACCATTCTTCCTTGGTAAAAAATCCCATGCTTTCAGCCTCCAATTTCCACGCTAAAACTAACATAATAATCTGGAAAGAACAGAACATAAAGGATAGGGGAAAAGTCAGCACAGAGATAATCATGTCTATATTTATCATGGAGAGCATTTTTATACAACTATTTCCATCCTTCAACTATTAAAGAGTACAACCTCTGGAATTATTAACTCCAAAGAAATTTAGATGGGCCAATTTCTTAAAAGTAAAAAGTTCTAACCAGTTTCTGAAGGTAGAATCTCTCTCACTCTATTACAAATGACATTTGTATCAAGAAAGAGAACATGTGCCCAACTTAAATTGATTAAAAATACTAATGACAATCTATAGTATTAAATATGAAGAAACAAAACCCTGATATAAGATTAAAGTGTCCCGAATTTTAGAAATTTATAAATATGCTATACCCCACTTGTATTCCATTCTACTTAGAAATAAAACATACATTTTCAGGTTCAACACCAATGTCTTCACAAAATTTTTCCATTCCTTCTGGCCCTACAACTTCATCAGGACCTTCAAAGACAAAAATAATTTATATATTTTATTGTTATAATTTAATATCAACATAAAACATAAGCCAATGTACTAAAGGCATCTATGAATATACCGTAACATTTTTTGTAAATAACAAAATTTGAATTTTGACAGATCTTTGATAAAGTATAAATATTTGCTATACGATTTAAAATGTAAAATTTTTGAAATATTCTTTAAACACATTACAAAATGAAATTAAGGGGAAAAATGAAGTAGCATTAATATCAGTCATTTGTTTGTACAGTAACTTGAACCTATGCATTAAAAAAAAAATTTACCGAGAGCCTTCTCTGAAGAAAATTTTTCGCAATGCGTAAACATAAAGAACCATAAGAAATTTTACTAGAATGTGTAGGACCAGCCCACAACTCAAGACGGTAATCAAAGAATACCTGCTTTCTTACTAAAACATAAGGTCACTTATTACCCTTTTGAAATACAACCAAATAAAATTTAATACTTTAAAAATATACACAATTTTGAAAATAGTAACTTAGGAAAATTACTTTCCTTATCATCTTGGATCTAAAATAGACAGCAAAGCATCAATTATGCCACCTTAATATAGAAACAAAAGTTTAATCCCTCAATTAGCTTATGTTTATCATTTGTCCAAAAATTAATGATACTTAGCTAGTTTCTTATTTTTCTCCCTTAGTACCACTAAATAATCAATACACCAATTCTCCTATTTCTTTATTCCATCAGTTTCTGAAAAGATAGTGATTACATCATTGCTAGGTCTCTTTTGTAACTCGCTAACAAATCTGTGACAACATGGATGGACCCAGAGAGCGTTATGCTAAGTGAAACAAGTCGGAGAGGGACAGATAACATATGATGTAACTTATAGGTGGAATTTACAAACAAACAAGCAAAAAAACCCAGACTCATAAATACAGAGAACAGGTTGGTGGTTGCCAGAGGCAGGGATGGGGGGTGGGAAAAACGGGTGAAGGTGGTCAAAAGGTACAAACTTCTACTTCTAAAATAAGTAAATTCTGGGATGTAATGTACAGCATGACGACTACAGTTAATAATACTATATTAAAAGTTGCTGAGAGTAGATCTTAAAAGTTCTCATCACCAAGAAAAAAATTTGCAACTATGTATGGTGATAGATGTTAACTAGACTTATAGTGATCATTTTGCAATGTATACATATGTCGAATTATGATGCTGTGCATTTGAAACTAATGTCATATCTCAATTAAAAAAGACTGAGTTATCTAAAATAATTACGAAATATGACAGAAATATGTTACCACATTTGATTTTTGAAAACATAGTCTTGAAATATTAAGGTAGCCAAAAAAACCCTGTTTTCTTTCTTAAGGACTTATAAAACTCCTGCAGCTTTATTAATCACAGACCAGACCATGGCTACTCATCGGTGATGGCGCTATACATCATCATCAGTTCCCAAGTACAACACGAAGCCAACGGCCAACGGTTTCTTCTTCACAGAAGAGTAGAGCCATCCAGTATGTGGGCCAATATATTCTTGCTGCTTCAGATGAGATCTAGGCTGCTAAGACGATGTAAAAATATGGTCCGAAACCAAAAGCCTTATTTAATTTTCTGGTTTAAATAAGTACTGCAGTTATTTATGCAGTGAGGTGTTAAAAGGTGAGAGGGGTGGTAATTATAGGACACCTTCACTTCCTAATATATATTTGGAGGATTTTTTATGAGAATGTGGTAATTATGTAATTTTAAAAGCATACATACACAATAAAGCTGTTAAAAATATAACTGAATATGTATCCTTATATATGGTTTGGTTGAAAGTAAAAATTAGATAAAAAATTTAATGGAAGGACACAAAGTTTTTCTTTAAGCCATGACAAAAATGTATCATAAATTTTTCCTATGAAAAAGAAAACTGACTTGCCCTCAAAGCTGCCATCATTAGTAATCAGAAGAGAGAGCTGAAGAGTCATGTCAAGAAGTATCAGTTACTATCATAAAATACAGCCTTCCTAGAAACTGCGGGACTAGTTAGTGGTTAACATTTGATGAGAATCAAATCATATTCTGTTATATGTATATATAAGACATACACAAGACCCTTCTGTAAATGTTAAGTAACTTTCCCAAAGCAATGAAAATAATCACAAATCTAACTCTAAAACAAGGTCAATACCAAATGTTCTTTTCCTGGACTGCATAATGTTAGTTCTACTTACTGAAATACACTCTTCCAATAAATCTACTCTGCAGCTGAATTTAACTCTTCAGGCTTTCCACTCAATTTAAGAAACTATGGGAATGATTTAGTTCACTCTACCAGCTGGCAGAACTTTATTAGAAGTTAGCCATTCTATCCTGTTTTTTGGGATCTTTGTAAGATTTTAAAAGTGCCTTTTCACTTTCCATGCTTTTATGCAGTAATATGACCCCTGTATTACTGAGTCCTTGCTAATGTAAATATCACTCAAGATGAGAGGTCTTGTGAAACAGCAAAATCATCAGGCTTAACACACATCACCTATGATATCATATTAACAAAATTAGTGGTAAAATATTTTTAAAAGTAAAAAAAAAATCAATTGTCTTTTTTTTATAACCATAGAATGTTTCCAGTGGTGTTTGCAGAGTCTAAAACCATGCCAGCCATAGCAGATGCTCAGGAAACAAAAACTGTGCTCAATGAATGACACAGCACCTTCAACATGAGCTACACAGGCGCTATCCTGTTAATCGTGAGACAGAACTGTCGAAATCCACAACCAGGCAATCTAATGCTGTAATGCTATTACTCTGTTAATAAGAACTTACATTTATGGAGTTCTGACTACATTCCAGGTACTGCGCTAAGTGCTTTACATATATTATTCTCAGACAGGCCCAATGACTGTCTCCATTTTAATAAGGGATATCCCCATTTTAGACAGAACAGTGACTGATTATTTGGTAAATGACTGGTTCTTCCTTGTCAGTTAGGTCTCTGCCCAAAGTAATGTCTAGAGAGGCCTTCTCTAATCACCCTACTTGAAAGTCCATCCAAACTTTCTACTTTCTATCCTTATACCTCACCATATTTTTACTTTTACAATGCTCCACGAACTAGAATTGTCTTGCCTACTTACCTATTTACCGTCTGTCTTCCCAACCACAAGGCAAGTCCCTTGAAGGCAGGGATCTTGTCTAACTTGTTCACTACGATATCCCTGGCACTTACCAGTGCCTGATGCACATTGAATGCTCAATAAATATTTACTGAATGACTCATTCAATAAATGACATAATGTAAATTACCCTCAAGTGCATTTACTAATTCTTTTTGTATAACGAAAATTAGTTGCCATATACATATTTAAAAAAAGAAATTATAAGATAGTAGTAATTAAAAGCATAGGCTCTGCAATCAGAATGACCAAACTTTGAATCCTGGCTCTTGTCACTGTATGATCTTGGACAAATTACTCAATCTAAACCTCGGTTTTCTCATCTATAAAAAGGGATAACATCACCTACTTAACAGAATGACTGTTAGGAAACATTATATAATTAAGTATGATTTTTGAAATAAAGACAGCAATTATTATGCTGGCTACTACAAAAATGCTAGTATAGAAAATAAATGTTGAGCTAATTAGAATATTATACTACCCACGAAAGTCCCAAGGAGAGGAAATACAAATAAGCATGAAAGAAAAAAAGTGGACTAAATTATGGTATCTCTTTATAAGTGAAATAAGGTGAGTGACCTTTTGATTCTATATCATGAATTCCAGTAAAACTGGCATTTTGAATAATGGGTCAACATTTAAATGGAGGTCAGCAAGAAATGAATTCCCTTCATTTAATTTGGGTTAGACATTGTCTTGGGATGCGAGTAATAGCAGTTTTTTTGGTCTAGAAAGAACCTGTTCTGTTACTAAACAATTTTTAAATTATACTTTGGGGATCCCTCAGCTGGTTCAACAGTGAAGATGCTGTCCCCCATCAATAGTCTTACTTTCCATAGTTAGCCTAAACTTATACCTCAAGTTCAGAGTATACTTTAGACCTTAACTGATCAGCACTAAATATGAGTGTGACGGCATGTACACGGTTTTATTTTAAATGCTAAGAATGAGAGTGGTAACAGGAGGAGGGAGAAGCTATAAAATCATTAATTCCATAAGACCAAAACTATCCTGAAGGAGAAAAAAATGTTTTCATACATGCTTAGGAGAAAGTAATAAATGGGAAACAAATATTCTATTTCATATGTGTGCTTAACGGTGATGTCTCCTCCCTGGCTCTGACTTTCACCCCCAGGCTACAGCTCCACCCCAGGCCCAGAGCTTCCAGCACTTACAGGATTTAGCTTCAGTTAGCTCCTTCCAGAAGCCCTTCCCTGACACTCCCAAGGCTGGGTGACATGTTCCTCCTCTGAACTACTATCACAGGACATCTAATACAGCATTTATCACACTGTAGTAGTTTAGTCGGTTTACTTTCTGATTCATTACTGCATTTCTAGTAGAACTGAAGGGGGCTAACCAGCAATGATTAAGGGACAAATGTGTTGCGTAATGACAGATTTGAATCTTAAATCTTTAACTATGCTTCCCCCAAAGTTTCAGAAAATGTCAGTTTAGGTTCAGAAAATTTTCAATAAAATATGGAAAAGAAAACTAAGAACTATATAAAGCATAAAATGTTTTATTATATACTTTGTGTTTTCCAGACTATTAAGTCTACTTTAGCTAATGGACATAAACCAATAAATGTATGTTTACAAACTGTATCAATAGTAAATGAGTTTCACCCCTCCCACTAAATATATACTGAATTACATATTTAAAGAAATATCATCCTGACATGGCACCAAATTCTTAGTCTACCTATAATCCTCAGTCTTGACCCTGATCCCAGGACACAGCACTAACACATAGCAGGCCTGCAATAAATGATTTGTTAATGAACCAAAAAAATTGTTAAAGCATGTGACTGATATCTTCTTATATTAATTTCATTACCTGCATACTCATAAAACCAAGCCAGGCACTTCTTGCTTGAAAAATGTTCCTCTCCACTTATTAGTCTAGCAGGGGGTTGGGATCTGCAATAGCTTAGAAAACACACAAATGCCTAAGAATTTTATCAAGTCTCAACTTTCAGTGAAAAGCTAAGTTCAATATGAACTACTTCAATTCAAAGTAAACAAAGTACTTTTTTTTTTTACAGCTGGTATTACAGGAAAAAATCAGAGTTGTTCAGTATTTGCAATTTGAAACAGTAGTGTATACGTAAAATTTTCTTGCTAACAAAACCCAAATGCTACTTTGCTCACTATCAAAATCCAAAAATATCACCTAAAATCATTTCCCCAGATTTCAAATGACCACATGGAAGTTCAACCTAATGGTCTCAAGACGACACTAGTAGTTGGGAAAGTATTAATCTTTATAGTGATTCTTCTGCTTTGTATGGAAATTGTATTTGTGTATAATATGCATGCATTTGAAAACAAAATCTTATAAAATATATTTTGATACTTAATGAGCCAATATTTTTTAAAAATCATATATTAACAGCTGTTTATTTATCATCTGCCAAACTTAAATAGGTATTTAAAGACAGAAGATGATTTAGGACCCAAGAGTATAATTAAATCCCACAGATTAAAAACAAAAGGTAACTGTAAATATGAAAATAATTGTACAAATAATTGGGCCAAAGCTATTTAATCCCAGAGCCTATCTCTTTCACAAATCACTAAAGGTTGGGAAGTTCATAAATGGTCTTTAGAATTTAATGAACTTCAAGGAGCTCAGAGAGTTACACCACCACAATGACCTAGAAAGGCTACAACTCTAGCTACTGAGTAATGTCATAAATAAGGGTACCATATTTAACATTTTAAGTTGATAGAGCAAAATATCACCGGAGTTTTAACAACACTGCTTGGCTATTTTAATGTGCTTCATTTAAATAATTTTGATATGTTATGCACTTAAGACGTCTACAAGTTAGAGTAATAAAAAACTAACTTGCATGTTTCATAAAACTATGAGCTGGTGGAATGGCGCTGTCACATTCTAGTGTGTCACCAAGAGCTATAAGAAAACCTTATCATCTCTCACACTAATAGCCCCAAAATGCCCTCAGCGAAAAAGTAAAAAATTCCGTCAGCTAGGAAGGGAAGAAAGATGCAGACCAAGTAAACTGGCTCCCTCACTTCCGAAGCAGCTCTCTGTAAGGAGGGCTGTCATTACCTGTCTAGAACGCTGACTACAGTCCTCTGTAAATGGCAGCATCCGAAGTTGTTCCATCAAGTGCCAACGGTGATACCGTCAGACACCCAACGAGATTTAGAAAAGAGCCACTTCTCACACCTAAATTGCAATGATTTCGTGCAGCACACACGTTGCTGGGATGCCTCCTGACACGCTACAGTGGGATCCAAGAGCTCTAATTATGGCTCTGCTCTGGCTTCTTTTTCTCCAAGAGGATACTGAGCAACCTAAGTCCCAATTTATTAATATCTATACCGAGAGCCAGCAGCATCTTGAATGCTAGAAAATAAAACCGCAAGCAGGGCCTTTCCAACTCTGCACGCAGGGACTTGGCGCAGGTGGACGCACTACCCTTCCAGGAGAGGGGCTTCCTGCTGGGATCTTCTGGCTTTGACCCCTCCAAAGACTCCATCTGGGGGCCAATTACAGCACAGGGAGCTTCGCTTCCTACCCCCGGCGGTTGTCAGGTCGACATTACCCGAGCTCCGCTCCCTTCCTCGCACGCTACAGAGGTTCTAGAAGTGACCCTTCCGCGGACCTGGACTCACTTGCAGGTGTGGACGAACGTCGGGGCGGGGACGAAGCGAGTAGGGGACCAGGGGCAAGGGGCGAGGGCGCAGCTGCCGTGCGCAGTCCCGTCTCCCCACCCCCCAGGGCACGCAGAGCCGAAGGTGAGGCGACTCCCGCAGCCCCTCCCGGGGCGCACACGCCGAGCACGAGGTGCAGTCGGGCGCAGAGCGTCGCGGGGTCCTGCGCCCAGCAGCCGCCCTTCTCGGGGGGGCTCGCCTCCCCAGCCCGAGCCCCGGAGCCCCGGAGCCCCGGCCCGCCTGCTGCTCCTCTCGCCGCCCAGCAAAGGAGGGAAGACGGAAGGGGGGGGGAGGTGATACCTGGAGATTTTACACTTTTTGAGGCCTCCGTCTTCCGCCACTGCCGCTGCCACCCCAGGGGATTTTCTCTTCTTCTTCACCGGCATCTTCCGCCCTCCCCGGCAGGGCGGCCAGAGGAGCCGGGGCAGGGGGTCGCTGTCCGCCGGAGCCGCCTCAGTGCTGGCAGCCGGCTCCCAGACACAGCAGCAAGCGGAGGAGCAGAGCCGCCAGCCCGCGGCAGAGCGGCCCAGCGCGGCCGCCGCCCGCGCCCGGATCTCCGCTCCGTCTCCTCTGCTCGCGGCCGGGGGCACTCCTCGCCGGTGGATACTGCGGCTCGCTCGCACCGCGAAGAGAGAACGCGGACAGCGCGGCACCTCCAACACTCACACACTCCGCGAGCGAGAGGCTCGCTCTGACCCGGATGCGGACCGCCCCGGGCCGGAAGTGACGCCAGCGCGGCGCTGGCCGCCGGCAGGGGCGTGGCCGTGCGTGGCCGTGCGTGGCCGGGCCCGACGCTGCGCGGGGACTGAGTGGGCCGGTGTGGCCGCGGAGCGGGCAGGGTCGGCCTTCGCCGGCCCAGCGGCCACCGTGGGTCGCCCGGGTGCCCCGGCCTTTCTCACGGAGCCTCCCCCGTCCCTCGTGCTGGGGGGAACCCCTAGTCCTCTGCGGCCCAGAGCGAGCCGCGGGGCACCTGCCGCGCGGGGCTGCCCGCCGCTCCGGGCGCGGCCT